CAGAATAAAAGATTGTTTTGCTACAATAGATTTTCACGATGTCTATTTTCAGATGGCCATTCTGGCATCCTACAAGCATTTTCTTTGGTCACAACCAGTGAACACATTTGCCGGTTCTGTGTCCTTCCTGTGCCACTGCCCCAAGAATTTTCACAAAATGTATGGCTGAAGTAGTGGCATATCCATGACTTCAGGACATCATGGTCTACTCCTGTATAAATGACTGGCTCTACATTACTTTATCCACTGTGTCTCTTCACCTTGAGTACTTTGCCCAGTTCTGGACACCACACTTCAAGAAGGATGCTGACAAACTGGAAAAACTTCAGAGGAGGGCAACAAGAAGGATCAGGGGACTGGAAACCAAGCCCTAGGAGGAAAGGCTGAAAGAATTGGGCATGTTTCTCTCTTTTGAGAAAATAAGACAGAGAGGTGATATGACAATAGTTTTCAAATACTTGAAAGGCTGTCATACAGAGGAGGTGCAGGATCTGTTCTCGATCATCCAAGAATGCAGGAGACACAACAATGGGCTCAGGTTCGAGGAATCCAGATTTCGGTTGGATATCAGGAACACCTTCCTACCCGTTAGAGCAGTACGACAACGGAACCAGTGACCTTGGGAGTTGGTGAGTGCTTCAACACTGGAGGCATTCAAGAGAAACAACCACCTGGCAGATATCCTTTGATTTGTATTCCTGCATCGAGCAGGAAGGTGGACTTGATGGCCTTATAGGCCTCTTCCAAATTCACTATTCTATGATCTCTCTACTCTATCGGCTGGGTTTCAAAATCAACCTCACAAAATATTATCTCATGCTGTTATCCTCAATAGAGTTCATTGGGGCTCACAAAGAGCCCATCTCAGAAGCCTTGCACCATTATTTCTCAAGCTCATATGCTTCTCTCCACCAGGTCACCAATAGTGAATCTGGTTCAATTTATCCTCGGACTCTTTGCTTCTACCATTGTGGTAATCCACTTTGCCCAGCTTTGCATGAGGCCTCTGCAAGTATGATTTCTCCACTCCTTCAAGTGCATTCACAAGAACCAGGCAGCATAACTGTACTTACCTTATCATGTTTTTCTTTACAGAGTCAAGTCCTATAAAGGACCTGTGGATCATTTTGTCCTTTCCTTTTGAGGGCTGCATTTTTTAAAAGCATAATATGATTGGAACTACCTGCTGCCCTGACAGTGCCAGTGGTGGGTGGGGCCACTATGTTCTTTCTGCCAGTCCTCCATCTCCTGGCCAAGAGGAAGGACGATGGGCAGATCATGTTTTCCAGAGCTCTGAACTGTTTGGGAGAGGGTTTGAAATTAGCCCAAGGGCTCCAGGTCCCACACCAGCCGTCAGCCTTATTCCAAGAGAAAATGGGAAGAAAGGGAAGTATCTGTTCAGATTTGTGAAAATCTCCATGGCAGCAGTAAATATAATGGCTGAGTTCAGCCACTGATGCCATAGATGAAAGCTTGCTCCAGCACTGACATTTAGACTTCTTTGTCCCCCAAGTGAGAATTTTACTGTTGGTCTATCTAGACCTCTCTCCTTATGAATATTAAAGATTTACAAGGGATTGAAATGTTGGTGGGTTTTTCCCATATTTGAGTAGGCACTATAGTTCTATAGTGATGTTATTTGGTCATGTAATTCCAGCTATAGGCAACAAGTCTAAACTAAATTTCTTGCTGTAGCTAGTTGTCAAACTCCTGATATGTCCCTATCCCACAGGTGGCTTTTCTACAATTTGGAAGGAGTTGACGCAGAATCTTTGAAGAACTATGAGGCTAATTCTGCTCTTCATTCTGTTCTATGTATAACATTTGTGGGAAATGGAAACCTTTTCATTTCCTGTACAGTCGGGGGGGGGGGGTTAGTCATCTCTTTGCCACTGTGCAACCATTCCTTCCTTCCTTTCTGACGATAGAATTCTGTCACTCTGGTTTGCCTTATGCAGCATTTCAACCAAAAGGTACAGAAAAACCATAATGTCATTTTACTATCTCCTGCATATCATGTTCTTGTCATCTCCCAGTCAGCTGGAAAACTGCACCCCACTTCGAGACATACTGCTGGCTCTACAGTGAACACATAACTACCAATCCTTCCTCTCTTTCATAAACCCAATTAACTGTCATTTGCTGGAAAATATTCAGTACAGGTTGTTGTCCATAGATTTTGCCCCCTGTAATGTAAACATATTGTCTTATGCAGGATTGCAATAGCTCCAGCTTATGCTTAAGGTAAAGGTAAAGGTTCCCCTTGACAATTTTTGTCCAGTCGTGTTCGACTGTAGGGGGCAGTGCTCATCCCCGTTTCCAAGCCATAGAGCCAGCGTTTTGTCCGAAGACAATCTTCCGTGGTCACATGGCTAGTGCGACTTAGACACGGAACGCTGTTACCTTCCCACCAAGGTGGTCCCTATTGATCTACTTGCATTTGCATGCTTTCGAACCGCTAGGTTGCCAGGAGCTGGGACAAGCGACGCGAGCTCACTCCATCACGTGGATTCGATCTTAAGACTGCTGGTCTTCTGACCCTGAAGCACAGGCTTCTGCAGATTAGCCCACAGCGCCACCACGTCCCTTATGCATAGCCAAAAACAAATACAGACAGCATGTTCCATTTGCGATCTGTGTTGCTCACTCTGTCCTCCCTACCCCCCCCCAATACAGGCTATGTCGTGCATATGATGTTTACGATCAGATGAGCATGCACATTTCTTACCTTTTGGAGAGTGGAGTGTGTGATATTCTTTGAAGGACAGGGTTTGGCTTCAATGGGAATTTAATTACATCAGATTACAAGGTCACAGAGAGTGTTACCACTGAGGGAGAGTTGTATAATAGTTTTTTTTTCTTTACTTGACTTTCCACAAGTACCCAATTTTATTTTTTTTTAATTTTCTCTGTGTTACAGAGAAGTACAGATCTCCGGGAGTTTTTCTCTACCCCATTCTTTTATGCCACTGCAAGGGATGGGTTGAAATACACCGTGAAAGGGGAATACTGTGATCAGTCTCAGAGGAGGACTGTAAAGACTTCGTTCTGTCTCCAATTGGCCATTAAACTCACTGCAGAACTGTGGGCCCTGTCCAACTTTTTTGAATTCTGTCGAAGTCTCTATCAGGATGGATATTTAGCTTCCTTAATATTTTCTGGCATTTGGGCTCACTCCGTGAGATTATTTTCCCCTGAGGATCAGAGCAGCATCCTTTCATTCGTGTGTGTCCCCCATCGCACACAATGATTATTGGGATAAAAAGGGGGGGGAATGTGGGCACACCACCTGTTGTTCCTTGGAGGAAAGTCAAGAGATGTATAAAAAAATAGAAATAATTAGATATGTGCCTTTTCTACTGCAAGAATTATTTTGCCACTAATATTTAGAGTTTGTTTCATTCTTAATGTTTCCTAGGCACTATGCAATATTGTAGAGATGCTTCAGTCCTAAATACAGATACAGTTGACTTTAAGTTTTGGCGTGGTATGGAAAACTGGGAGCCTAAACATATGGGGAAAATTTATGATGATGTTTTAAAATTCAGCCAACACTTTTTAGTGTATTTAGGTGGCATTCCCACATCTTTTTCTGCATTGGCCTTCTCAAGCCTTGTGCATTTCAAATGTTTTGAACGTTGGCTCCCATCACCCCAGTCACCATAGTTGGTGGTGAGGAAACCAAAGTACAAAACATCCAGAGGGCTGTTCTCTCTCTTTCATTTTTATAATTACTGTTTATAATAAAGTGTGTTCTTTGCTGAAACTCCATTGGCACAGCCAACTTTCCAAAACTTGATTCTTCCCTCAATCCTGACTTTGTTAGGTTGTGGGTGCGTGGCCTTTTATTGCCTGTGTAAACTATTACTTGCTAGGATAATGTCTCTAGTTAGCCAGGGAGAAACAAGAGGCTTCAAATCCAATGGAGGAAGTACCAACCCATTCATCATTCCTGGCACCACTCTGCTGAGAATATTGAATGGAAGAGGCAGGACGAGCTGAGTGAGCCAAAGATGCTTTAGGGAAAGACAAGTACTGCTAAATATAAGGAAAGTAGTTGATCTATGCAAAAAGAAGTGCTGTGCAATATTTTTCTGTTAATATTTCCTCTTTGGAGTCTTATCTTTGGATGACAGAATTGTAAAGGTGAAGGGGTACAAGGGTGTAATCACATCAGTGGCCCCAATCCTACAAGTGACACCCATTCAACATTGCTCTTCATGCTATACCACAGAATAGCATTTGGTCGCTCTGACCTGAATCATTCATTGAGCTCCTTTGTGCAGTCTCTTAGAGGCTGATAGGATGACGTTACAATACATTTGTGGATTTGCAGCTAAGGAGGAGCAGGCCAGCTAGTGACCTTTTACCATGATCATACCAAAAAAATTGGTGTTCAGGAATGATTAGTCAGATTCTGGGGCCACATGAGAAATTATTAAAAAGCGGAACAGAAACAAGTGTTCTCCAAGAACAGGCAGATAGTTCAGTCACATAATTAAAGTTTTCTTCGAAAAAGGGAGGGTAGATATTCTGAGCAGCTACTGGCAGTAATCCAAAATTCTAATTTCTGACTATGATTTAATTTCAATTTTAAATAAATCGGTTTTTAATTTAAAAAGAGTGAGCTTCATAACATTAGCAATGATTGCAACATTAAGCCCAGTGCTCACAATCTAGCAATATAAAACATTATTTATATCTGAATCGTAAACAGCCTTTTGAAATGGATTATGGTTTTTCTCCCTATTCTAATACAACCTGGAGGGTACTAAAAAGTGTTGTGTGAAATTAACATTCTGCTGACTTTCGCCTATAAATGAGAAGCGAGCTATTAACATTTGTGTATTTTCATTATGTAAATTGTGTTAACACATGCCCACAAATTGCCACCAGCGATACAATAATTTTCTCTCAGTGATCATAATGTGTCCAAGTGAGTCATTTTGATTATGACATGCTAATTACATATTGCCTCCCCCCCTTTTTCTTCTTTTCAGATTCAGAAAAACCAGGGATCTTTAATGGTAAGCTTTATGAGTTTGGAGAAAAAAATCACTTTTCTTTTTCCTGATGGCTGCTTCCTTTGCATGCTTGAATGCCTTGTTTTAAACTTAGCAAATTGCATTTTGTGGAAAATGCAAACCTTTAACTGCCTGTATTAGATTAGGTACCATTAGAAATAATAGGACATCCTGAGCCACAATGTTTTTATAAGAGTTTGCTGCTGTTGATTAATCTTGCTATATTTTATTGCATTAATGATTTTTTTCCTTTCCACTCTACTGTAAAGATATTGCATATAGCCTAATACTTTTCTTCCTTTCTCTTCCCCCACCCTCTTCTTTCTATCACAGCCTCTCCAGTTACTCCAGTGCATTGTTGATGAGGTGAGTCGCCGTCTTATGTGCTTTCACTCCTAAAGTCATTCCTAATGGACTGGAAAGCTTATATTTTGTTTCCTAATGAAGCACAATGGCCCGACATCCTCAACTGCGAGACAAGTTGCCTTGTGCAGCTCTGAGCTGTCGAGCATCGGCTGTCCTTGTCCTGCTTTGTGCCGTTTTCTGACTCTTCCTCTTCAGTACTTGGAAAAATGGGATCCTTTCCAGGAAAGTCCATTTTCTTCATCTGGATAACAGAGCCTCCATGTTAATTGATCACCTCTCCACCTTGCCAGATGCGGCAAGGCAGAGAAATGAAAGCTGTCATTTTGCCTTTAAATGAGGCACACTTTAGCAATGCTTTAGGTGTGTGAAAGGGACACTGTTAAAAGGGGTCAGAGTTGAATTGTAAACAAGAGCAGATTTGAATGCTGTGTCTCATTTAGATTTTGCCAAAGGGAGAAAACCAAAACAGTAGGAATGAGGTTGATTGTACTTCTTCCATCCAAACTCCTATCGGAGTTGATCTTGATTCAGTGGCCACAATCTTGTCACAATTATGTACTGTAAAATGAAATTGCATAACCAGTGCATGCAATCATTCTGGGTGACTATCATGTGCACAGACATACCCAGGCTGCACAGTCAGTCACACATCTGGGTGCACAACAGATAGCTGGAAACTTGCAAAAATTACTTGCACAATTCCATTTATGTGCTTGCAGGAGATCACTAGGAAGTACCAAAGATCTCCAGATAAGGCTGGATAAATTATAATCTCTATTTCCTAGGTTTGATGAAATTGTCTGATTGAATCCTGTAGATAGTGGCCATAATCCTGTTCCTCAGCTTAGTAAATAGCACTAAAGTAAGTCCACTGAATCAATGAGGATTTAGTGAGTCAACTCTTCCATAAATCCTATTGATTCAAATGGGTCTACTCTAACTGTGATTGAAGTAATTTGCAGTTAATATAGGCATGTTTGAATTAGTGGAACATATGGAGGAATATTAGTCACTAAATCCCACTGATTCAGTGGGCCTAGTCTAGTGTGATTTATTACACCTGTGTATTTTTTCCACTTCGGAAAGAAATATCCAGTTTGAGGTTTTTAAATTGTCCGCACTGGTGGCTCCATGCATTTCATCCTCTGATATTAATGTTGGAGAGTAAACCCCACTGTCATTCAAAATAGGCTTGACATTTATTTGGTAGTTTTTTGTCTTCTTAGCACACGCCCCACTCCTGGCAGCTACGCTTCCTCTCTACCCATTATGGAAGTCTGCAGAGACTGCAAAAAAGGAAGACTGGCTCTTTATTAATAGCTATAGTTTTCTGAGCAGTCACTTGTGCAGTTAGTTACACAGCCCAACTTGTGGGGTAGTTGGCACAGTAGAATTGGCAGGTAAAATCATATAGATGATCCAGATCTTGGAAGTAACTAGTGACAACGTAGTTATGTATACTTAGTTATTTTATGGATGTCAAGTAATCTGTCTAGTAGATCAAAGTATTTAGTGGGTAAGGAGCAATTACTTTTCTTCTTTTTTAAAATGTAGGGTTGATGCTGATATGTAAGACTGTAATGACAGGTCAAATATAAATCTGATTTATTATTCTGAATTTGTTTTGAGTTTGTATGAGATGCCCCCATAGCCCCCTCCATGGTGTGGCTTAAAACTAAAACATTTTATTAACAGAAGGCAACTTAAATGAGCTCAGTCAATGGGACCTGGCTCAACAATGAGTCAACTGAACACTTACAGGTTTTATATCCCTGTCCGGGATATACTCCATAACCTTCTGGCAACTGGCCCTACTGTGTGGAATGGAGGCCTTTTTCCTTCATCAGCTCCAGCACCACTCATAGGTGGGCAAGGCATAGGATACCACAACACAGGTGCTTGATCGAAGCAGTCACTTGCCTGTCCAAGAGGGTGGTGTGGGCCACAGCATCAGATGTGGCCGTAGGAACCCTCAGCTGATCCTCCTTGTCTGTATTCCTGGTAGGTCACGGCCATGGCATGGTTGAAGAATACACGAACATGGCTGCCTCTGTCTGGTGCATGGGGTAGTGAGAATGGGTGCACAGAGTAGAGAGCTTCACTTGTTGGAGGGCTGGCCAACTCTTGGGTTGATTCAGGGTGAGGAGGACTGTCCTAGCTTTGTCGCTGGCGACGGCATGCTTAGTGTTGATTTTCAGCTTGATGTTGGGCCTCGTCCTGACGTACCCAGGCTGCCTCCTCGGGCGGCTCTAGCAAGTTGACTCCATTGCTGGTGCCAGGGTCATAGTGACAGCACCTCTCATCCCTCATTCAAGGGTGCCTCGCTCAGTTCCACTTCCCGAGCCTCACATGCCCCCCAGTCAACCATGTCCACCCACAGGTCCTCCTTGATTGCTGGCACCTCCTTAAGTAGCAGGCTCACCATCAGTACACCTGCCTCTTGGAGGGTGTCTTCCTCAGGTACACCATCTCTGCCCCAATCTGTTGGGGAATTGCCTGTTGGAAAGGCCAACGCCTGGCTTGTCGAGGTGAGAAGCCCACCTGCCTGATGGGAGGGGGCCCTTACCAGGCCCCCAGTTTGTTTTGATGTTTCAGGTTTTTCTTCTTTTTTGTATACTATATGTTGGGCCAAAAGGTGGGTTTAAATATTTTCATTCATAAAATACATATTCATCTCAGATTCGCTTTAGAATTTAGTAGCACAAATGATTAATTACTCCACAGCAGTTGAATTTCAGTCCTATCAATAAGAAACAGAAGAGAAAAATAGCCCCTTAGGTGGAGTACAAAAAAAGAAAAACAAAACAAAAACATTAAAACAAACACAGAACAATAAATCATACTTGGATTGGCTGGTCCATCCTGCTTAGCTGCTGTATTTTATTCCATGAGTGTTTTTGTTTGGTTGGTTGGGATTTTTTTTTTGGTACCATCATGTTGCACATGCTAGAATGCCTTCTGATTTCTTGGCTGAAATTAATATGGTAGATTCAAAAGTGGAAGGGAATAATGAAATGTTGTGGTGGGTAGAGGTGATGATTTGAGGCTACACCACAAAGGAACAATACCTTTTTGTAAGAGGATAAGTTAATGGATATGCGCCAGTCTTTAAAGCAGGTTGAGTGGTTTTCATGAATATGATGTTTTCTCTGTTAATGTCATTACTATATGCTTGAAGACTTCTTAAGACCGGCAGCTGAATTTGTGAGCTGACTTCATTGTAAGATGTATTGAGATAGATATGTTGGTTCTGTCTCTGGCTTTAGCTCTAAGATGACGCATTCACATGGGCATTCTATCATTTTATGATACACTCATTATGCGGTAAGGCTGTGCTGTGTTGAATAGGTGTAGTAGAGTCGCTTGTGTCGCAAGTGGCTTAGTATACCAGGCGCCATACCACAAGTGCTCCTGTGGAGCAAATACAACTTTGTAACGATCTGCATCCAGTAAGGGAACCCAAAATAGATAAAAGTGGTGTAAGATTTGTCTGCAGAAATATTGTAAAAATTACATGCACTATTTAGATATAGATGGATGTAGGTGTCTTTTTCCTTCTGGAAAGTATATATTGGGTAAAATATTGTTGATAAAGTACCTTGAACCAGTAGGTGCTTTGTTTATTATATGTGCTTTTCTATACATGTATCCAAAGAAAAATGAATACTCACACACTCATTGATACATTACAGTTTATATTTTTTTCTCCACCCCAAAGGTTCATTGCAACAGGTACCTTTTTTACATTTCAAAGCCCACTTCTGTGAGGACTGTCCGTTTATTTGGGAGGTTTGGGTGGCTGGCTGGCTGATGTGGTTGATTATTTTTTCTGGAAAGCAAAAGAGAGTAAGTTTAAGGAACACCGCCTGCTTCCGAGGCACATTCTTTTCAGAATGGTGCAATGAAACCCATGTTGGTTTCTAGACTCCCCACGTTCAGCTGAAGATGATTTCCATTTCTCCTCAGGCTTTGATGGGTGCCCTACAGTTTTCCCACATACGTCAGTCTAGTAGCAGCCTGATTTTGTTTTCACCCCTTGCTCGCTTAGTTCCCTTCATGCTCCCTTCCCTTGGCTCTTTTCAAGATGCAGCCCTGTTGGGGTAGAATAATAGTCCCCACTTATTGTGCTAATGTGTGTCTCTTCTTCTAAATAAGGACCTCAAGAGAAAAGGTCTGTTTGTTTTCTGGTATGGTACAGCTGCTGTTGTTTTCTGTGCATTCATGATAACGCAAATGTTAGCTATTAGAAGTGTTTAGTGTTCTACGACTGATGATCTCCCCTCTGTGGCATCTTCATGAGAGCCAATAAGGGCTGGAAAGGTCCTAAAACTCACAGGGGGAGGGGAACAGAGTTGCCGTCTTCCATTCCAGGCTACAACTGTTCTTGCATGGCAAGTTTCCCCCTGAATCCACTGACAGCGACACACAATTCTCAACTTGAGTTGCTGTGGTGTTGCTTATGCTGAAGACGGCATATTTGGATACCGTCCAGGCCTGGGGAATTGAGCTTTTGTGTAAAAGCTTAGCCCACTCCTAGAGTAGTAGATTTGGAGAGTCGCCAGGTAATTCCGAGCTGTATAGTCACGAGGGAGAGGGCAGAGAAGGGAGGCAGATCCAAGATCTTTGGAACTGAACGTGTGCTGCCTCCTGTTTGAACAACTCAAGTCCAATGTTCAGGGTGGCTAAAGGTATGAATAAAAATCACAGGAGCCATCTCAGGGAAGAAAACTCTTACTCTCTTTCAGCAGGCTATTCATGGCTCATCTGAATCCATACCATATAAAAAGTTCATATATCCAGGAAATGGGAAAAGAGGAAACTTCACTACTATGCCCAAATGTCTTCTCCTCTTCCTCTGCTACATTTTGATCCCTCTTCCTGTGTTACTCACCTGCCCTGAGCATCTTGCCTCCCCTCCTTTACTCCACAGCACCACTATTTTCCTTCTTTCTGAATCAGTTCTGAGCTGCTTACTTGTTGTTGTTTAGTCGTTAAGTCGT